TTCGGGTTACAACCAACTCCGGATACGCCCCGAGTCACGGAACGGATTTAGTTCGTATCCCCAGGTACCACTGTATTTTTGTCTTAGATTTTCAGTTCAGTGTTAGATATCTGCCCTGGGGTTTTTAGATGATCTTCTGTTAGATTACCAGGAGTAAACAATTTTGTTTTAAAAATTGAAAGTGTATCCATTAAGAGAGCTACAAAAATCTGTTAATACTTTGCTTGAATTATCAGATTCTAATTCTTCATGGAGGATTTATATCCATTAAAAAAAAACAACATAGTTTCAGAGTTGAGCTTTAATATAACTGACCCACTGCAAGTGGTAGTGGAATGGATGTCTAAGGTGAAACCAAACAGACTTCCTTCTAATAGAGGCGAACATGTGTAGCTCAGGGTTGAACTGTGGAGTCCTTGGGGTTCTCTGAGCTTGGTTCTTTTCTTGCAAACGTTTCATTACCCGGTTCGGTAACATCTTCAGTGCTAAAATGAGATGGGGTTTGCTCTCTATTTATGTACTGTGGCATGCTTTGCCAGTGCTGGTGGGGATTTTGTTTTGCTCCTCTGGTAGTTCCTTGATTAGCATATGTTTACTGTTTGATTGTGTGTCTGGTGGTAACCTTTGCTTATCTGGGTGATGATTGCTGGTGAGGCGATCTTCTGGTCTTTTGTCTCTTTTGAATAGTATGTAGATGTTGCTTATCTCTTTGTGTCTATTAATTGCTGCCTTGTCTGAATACCAAGCTTCCAAGAATTCTCTTGCATTTTTGGATTTAGCTTAGTCTAAAATATCTTCTGGTCTTTTGTCTCTTTTGAATAGTATGTAGATGCTGTTTATTTCTTTGTGTCTATTAATTGCTGCCTTGTCTGAATACCAAGCTTCCAAGAATTCTCTTGCATTTTTGGATTTAGCTTAGTCTAAAATGCTGACAGTTTCCCAGTTAAAACTATGGTTAAGTCTGTCCATGTGTTGTGAAATTAAGGAGTTTTCATCATGTCTTCTGACTGCTGGTTGGTGCTCGTGGATGCGCTCTGCCAGTCTTCTGCATGTCTGTCCTACATAGTGTTTGTGTAAGGTTTGTGTAAGAGGAGCTAGGTATGAACATTATTCAAGCGAGGACGAACACATTGCAGCAACCCAGAACAGAAGAAAAGGGGAAAAGACCACCTATACATCTTCCAACAAAATGGATATCCACGCAACTTTATCAAAAAGTGCCTGACCACTCAACCTACTACAACACAACCAACAC